CAGAGATACCAAAAAAAAAAAAAAAAAAGCACCTCTTATTCTTACTTGCTTGATACCTTCTATAGTAGCATCCCACTTCCAAATTTAACCCAAATTTCCTACAAAACGCCATTACAAGAGTTTAGCTTGAGCTTTTGAAGAGCACTTCAGCAAGTGTTTGTCTGATTGGGAAGGGCTAACGAGCCCTTTAGAGTCCACTCTCTGATTTACTACATTAACGACCTTTACCCAAGCATCATAAAAGCATCTCTAAATAATAATTCTTCTCGCCCAGTTTAGCCCGCCAAACTCCGTTCATAAGGAAAGGCCTCTGCAGAACTATCACCATCAGCCTCCTTCTTAAAAGCTCTTGAACAGCCCATCATAAGATTTATGGGATCAAACTCACCTAACCTAAAATTGAAATCTGTCACTAGGCCAAAATGGCCTAATTTTGTCACTAGTTTCATCCAAAACAGCTCTATATTCAAAGTTACTTTTTAAAATTACATTATTCCTAAAGTTAACCAGAATGATTTCAACCCCTTGAATTCAATAACAATTTCCAGTGCTTATCCAACCCCTCTTTCATGGGTGATCTATTTTTCTTCGGTTTGGAAGGTGAAGATTCTCAAGAATGTGAAGTTCTTTGTGTGGCAGGTTTTGCATGGAAAAGTTAACACCCTAGATTAGCTCTCAGTTAGAGGATCTTTGGTGATTGGACCACTTTGCTGTATTCTTTGCAAAAGAGTTACAGAGGGCCTTAATCATCTCCTTTGGAGCTATGATTTTCTCATGCAGGCTGGCGTGATTTATTTAAGACATTCGACTTTTCTTTCGTTAGCCCTCAAAGTTGCAGGGAGGTGGTTTGAGGATCTTATCCTCCATTCACCCTTCCTGATAAAGGGTGATTTTGTTGCAGGTGGGTGCACACTATTTTGTGGCGGCTTTAGGGCGAGGGAGTTCTTCTAGCAATGTTTAGTCCCTTGTTAGATTTTTTGTTTCTCTGTGAACCTCGGTTTCTAGGTTTATTTTGTAATTATTTGCTTGGTCTTATTTCTCTTGACTGGGGTCCATTCTTGTAGTTTGGCTCTTTTTTGCACATGTATTCTTTCATTTTTTCAGATTTATTTAGCTCAAGCTTGAATCGACTATAAAAATCGACTTATTAGTGTGATTGTAACTTCGGAAACTAGAGATTATGTCTTTAGTGCTTTATAATTTCAATTTTATGTTGCCATTACCAGGGATGGGGCCAAAAAAATTTATTTGGATTGGCAAAATTTTACATTCCAACTTTCATATATAATCTGTTCTTCGTTCCACCCCAAACCATAAGAAGATATATGAACTCAACTGGGAACCAAACATTCTCTACGAGAAAGCAACAAATGTACTGCACAGTTCTATTATTTTGAGTAACAATCTTTTCCTGTATTATTGTTATGATGAGAAATTATTTTAATTGAAAAAAAATGCCACCGACCAATAAGACAATGAAACAATAATTAGGTCTCCGATGATATCCAATCTTAAACCTAGATGGCAAGCCAAAATGAAACTAAAGTTCAAGGTTTTGGGTAAAAATAGTTGCAGCAGCAACTCCAGGCTTTATCTCAGATTGCATTGAATCATGAACCAAAAGAAGGCAAAAACTTCACCATATATGCAGTAGTCTGACGAGTTTAAGTTAGTTTTTGTTGCCTAACCACAAAGTCACCTAACAACATATCGAATATCAAATCCTGTAAAATCTATGATATGAAGAATGCAATCGATACATACATAAAACTATACACATAGCCACATATATAAAGACTTCGACTCAAAATTGACTTCAAAATTCCAAAAAATATAGAAATCTAACTCATGAGTCCAATGCCTCCTTTGAAATTAGACAATGTGGGGGTGAAATATTGAAATTGTAAATGGTAAACTAACAAGTAACTCATGAGAGAGTTTCCTGTTGGCATGTCCAACCACTTCTTTTTTTTTTTCTTTTTTCTTTTTCTTTAGGTCCCAGAATGGGAGATGACTCGTTTCCCTTCCTTCAGTCTGTGTCTTTTGACTCCTTTTGATTACTAATGAATCCTTCTTTCTGTTCAGTTAACAGTAATAATAATGACAACTCTAACATTATTAAATTAAAGATATGATCTTAAGGGTACCTTCCATATAATAGCTGAGCAATCACTGGATGAAGAGGCCAAGTATTCTCCGTTATTAGAAAACTGAACATACCAAACCTCATTCTTATGTTCTGCCAAAATCTGCATAGCGAGAAAATTTGTTTTAAAAAATAAAGTTAAGCATTCTTGTAAATTTCAATCATCATTGAAATTGTATCTTATCAAAAATAAATAAATAAGTAAAGCATTCAACAAGATATTGAGCAATCCATTGTGGGTGATGAGTATCAATCCTCATTCTATTTTTCCTTCTTTCACCCCCACAAACTGAGAATGGAGTGTAAAAGGCTGAGATTAAGGATCGTTCAATTTCAAATATCAATCATATTCATGCAATGATAATGAGCTAGACAAAGAAATAAATGCATTTGCCAAAACATCCTACAAGCACAAATATCATTCACTCAAAAGCTATATGAGAACAAGAAAACGGACAAGCAGCTTCTTTTAATTCAGAAAACCAGAAGTTCCAACACATAAAACTAGAATCCAAAAATATTTCGTCCGTCAGATACAACTGAATATTTAGTAGTCCAAGTAGGTAATCCATGCCTCTATGAAACCCAATCCAATTTTGAAAATATTCCATGATGGATTTGCTTGTAAAAATAGTGTTCCTATCTTACTTGCATGAATTTGAGAGAACCCAATCCAATTTTGAAAATATTTATATTCCATCATCATATGTTACAATATGAAATCATTTCCTTTCAAAATCATCTAAAATGATGCATGGAAATTAAGAGTATAAACATGGAGTACGAGCATAACAAAAAGCACCTGAATTGTTTCTGTTGGTATTTGATCCCGGCCACAGCAGTGGTCCTCATAGATTGAAACTGCACCTGAAAAATTATGATACATACATGAATCAATCTGTGCCACTACGGTGGTTTCAACCAGTTGCTCCAACCTCCTGTCTGGCAAACAAGTAGGTGGAGGAAGAGCTTTTTCCAAATCTCGCAACAACTTTTTCCTTAATTCATGAATGACACTGTCATTTGAATAATCCATATTCATGTTCTTAGAAGTAAATATGCTGTAAGCAAGCTTGTGGATTTTGTCTCTACTAAAACGGAACATTGGAGCTTCTTTACGCAACATAGCTAGTGCCGATGCATCATCCCCACAGTTAGAATACTCGAGCAAACAATGTTTTAGAACAAGAAACAGGGCGGAAACTCTTACTTCATCAGTTAAGTCCTTGATGCCACTTATTGTGTCAATGCAACCATACCAATTACCACTGAAAATTTGAGACTCCAACAACTTGAAATCATTAGATTTGTATGAAATTCCAGACTCGGCTTCCAAACATAGTGCAGATTTTTGGTAACCAAATGAATATAAGCATTGAATTATGATCCTAACAAACTCATGTTTCCTTATTAGGCCCTTGGATCCAATTAACACAGATGAACTCTCCATGGATATACAACTTGTGAGAAAATCTTATGTCATTTTAATGACCTTCCCCTTCAATGCTCTCGAAAAGACCAATATTTCACCAGCCGTGGTACTGTCGTTTCCAGATAGAAGGAACCTATTTTTTTGCAAGTACAAAATCCTGGAATTCAACAAAGATGTACGCATAAGAAGAATGAACCCTGAATTCCAAGAATTTCAAGTCAGTGCCAAAAGAATTAGGTAACAAGAGAGAGATAGAGATACAGGTTCAACGGTGTCCCAGCAGTGAAGTACAATAAAGAGCGAGGAATTATTATTAAAAAGATTTGGATAAAGACTATCCATTCTTGACCAACAAAGTAACAACTAAGATTTAAAAACTCTAAAACTCCTCCCGTGATTGACTATTATAGCCAAATACACCAAAACCTTGAACACTGATAAATTCACTTCTCGTGACGGCCATATACTTGAAACTTCCGTCCCATAATCGATTGATTAGACGCCAAAAATAAAATCTCAAACCATTCACCGAAATACACCTAGCCTATAATATTCACTCAAAGATTCACACAACACAAATTATTAATTTCTAGCACGAATAATTCCATCAACTCAACAAGCTTATAATTACCCGAAACCTACAAAATAGTTCTTGAATCGCAGAAGACAGTAAGCCTGGGAGGCTCCAGCCAAGATTCTTAAAGTATAAGTACACGAAAATTGGAAACATCCGAGATTAGAACAATTACGTGCAGAATAGGACGAAGAACGAAACTGTTCCATGAGTTTACAGAACAAAAACGAATCAAAATGCCAGGCCTACCAATATGAAGAAACGAATAAGAATACAAAATTGAAGAACGATTGCTAGCCAGTTGAGAATGTATTGCAGAGATTGAAGAACTGCTCAGTGAGATTGCCGGGAAAGAAATGGAAATGACTTGTAGTCGGGAAGGAACCGAAGGTAGTTTGAAGGAGGCAGGCCTTGAGAAAAGAGTAAGGACAAAATACGGCTTAAACGACGACGTTGCGGTTTTGCTTTTTTTTTCTTTTTTCTGTAAAATATCGAATTAGCAATTTCCCTTTTAGCCCCTACCTTGGACGAAGACGACATTTTTTAAACACCAAAAACAAGTGCTATATTTGTCTTTTCATTCCCTTAGGATAACTATGGCATTTAATTTATGGCAATTATTTATAGTTAGATTCTTTCTAATAATTAGTTGTCTTTCTTTTTATTTTCTTTTTTAAGGAAGATGAAGTAATATTAGGTAAGTTATCCATCAAAATATAATTTTTTAAATTATCCACGGGTGGATGTGAGATCTCACCTCGATTGAAGAGGAGAGTAAAATATTCCTTGAAAGTATGTGGTGGATCGTGAGATCCTATCCCACGTCGATTGAAGAGGGAAACAAAACATTCCAAATGTGTGGAAACCTCTCCCTAGCATACACGTTTTAGAATTGTTAAGCTAATGGCGATACGTAACCGGTCAAAGTGGACAATATATACTAATAGTGTGCTTTGACTTTTACAAATGGTATCAAAGCCCGATATTGGGCAGTGTACCATCAATGAGACATCGACTGGTATGCCAGCTTGACGCATCCTACATCGGTTGTAAGATCTCATTCCCCATAATTGTGGAGTATTAGCCTAATCACGGATGATGACACCCATTCTCACTACGTCTCTGATCATAGTAACATTTGTATGGAGCTCGAATGCTAAAGGTCGTCATTGACGCCATTTATCTGGATGGCCTATAGGTGAATTTGAATTGGAGGTGACAACCACCATCCCCCATCAAGGAGGACGACCATTTTGATTTAATTTAATAAATAAGACATTATTTATCATTTTAAGTTAGATGATTCACCGTATGGTTTCAAATCATGTTTTTATGCCAACAAATTATTTTAACAAAAAATGTTTGACTTCTAAGAATTTCATAAAATTTAAAGATGAGGAAGAGATTGGAGATTCAAATGGGAAGTGTCCTGGAACTTCTCGACTCAATGATCAAACAGAGGATGAAACAGCAGGAAATGGATCATGATTCTGTTCCAAACAATGATATGTTGCATTATCTTCTCAAGAACGAAGAGAGCGACGCCCAAATCGATCAAAATCAAATGATAAATTTACTTCTTGTAAGAATCCTCCCCTATATAATCGTTCGATTCTTGAATCAATAATGAAATTGAAAAAGCACTTTGATGCATCGATTTTCTAATTTGTACAAAAAAAAAAAACCCTAGGAATTGTTCGCAGCGGGCGCGGATACAACCGCAGCGACATTACAATGGGCAATGGCGGAGCTATTGAGGAATCCAGAAAAATTAGTGAAAGCACAAGAGGAAATCAAGCAAGTTGTGGGGAAGAACAAACCAGTGGATGAAGCGGACATTCCGAGGCTGCCATATCTACAAGCAGTAGTGAAGGAAGCTTTACAATTGCATCCAGCGGTTCCATTATTGCTACCTCGTACGGCGAAACAAGAAGTGGAGATCGAAGGTTTCACAATCCCTAAACATGCTCAGGTTCTGGTTAATGCATGGGCGATCGGAAAAGATCCGTTGAGCTGGGAGAATCCGGAATCATTCGAACCGGAGAGGTTTCTGGGATCAGAAATTGACGTCAGAGGGCAGAGCTTTGAGATGATTCCGTTCGGCGGAGGGAGAAGGATTTGCCCTAGACTGCCATTGGCTATGAGAATGATGCCTTTGATGTTGGGTTCGTTAATTAGAATCTTCGTCGGAAGAAAGTGGAAGAGCTCGTGGAGATTGTTCGAAAGAGCGCGTTGAAGGGTGAGGCGGTGGATGTAGGGAGATTAATGTTCATGACTACATTGAATCTACTCTCGAATACGATTTTCTCTGTTGATTTAGCAGATCCGGAATCTGAATTAGCGAGACAGTTTAAGAAGTGTGTGCAGGGAATGATGGAATTGGCCGGAAAGCCGAATTTGAGCGATTATTTTCCCGTGTTGAGGAAGCTCGACATTCAAAGGATGAGGAAGAGGATGGAGATTCACATGGGAAGTTTTCTTAAAATTCTAGACTCAATGGTCAAACAAAGGATGAAGGAGCACGAACTGAATCCTGATTCTGTTCCAAACAATGATATGTTGCATTATCTTCTCAAGAACGAAGAGAGTGACGCCGAAATCGATCAAAATCAGATGATACATTTACTTTTCGTAAGAATTCTCCCCTAAATTATCGTTTGATTCTTAAATCAACTATGAAATTTAAAAACCGATGCGTCGTTTTTCTAATTTGTGCAAAAAAAAAAAAAAAAAAAAAA